CTGACTCCTGATTTTGGCTCCGGTAATGATCTCACAGTTCATGGGATGGAGCCCTGTGCTGACAGTGCCAAGCCTGCTTGACATTCTCTCTCTCCCCCACTCTCTGCCCCTCTGCACGCTCTCTCTCAATCTCTCCCTGTCTCTCAAAATTAAAAAAAAAAAAAAAAAATGAAATCCATAGTGCTGATTTGTGGGTTTCCTCTACCAGTAAATGGTGTCATACTGCTTGCATTATTCAGCAACTTGCTTTTTACCCCCTAAACAATAAGTCTTAGACTTTGTCCATTCACTGTCTTGATCTTTTTTTTAAAAAAATTATTTATTTTTTTAGTAATCCCTATACCCAACATGGGGTTTGAACTCACAACTCCTGAAATTGAGAGTTGCATGCTTTCCCGACTGAGCCAGCCAGTCCCAATACCTTGATCATCGTAATGGCTGCATACTAATATGCCAGGTGTGGGGAATCATGCCCCTGTGGATAGGCAGGCTTTCGGCAGTGCCTGAGCGTTACATGGCATTGTAAGCAGGGACCCATCTTTAGGGTGCTCACCTGTGCACACCTGAGTAGGTGATCAGCATGGCTGGGTCACAAGTCAGTGAAGAGACTGCCAGATGCCTCTCAAAGGTGGCAGTACCTGCTTCTACTCCCCTCAGTGCCTGAGAGTACCGACTTCCCATAAACACCTGATGGGTAAAATAGTGGACCAGTGATTTGCAGCTTGTTATAGGCCTGTTGAGCTGTAATGAGCACTACAACCTCAGTGAACCACTTTTCCTTTTTTAATATTTATTTTTGAGAGAAAAAGTGTGTGTGGTTGAGCATGAGCAGAGAGGGGCAGCGAGAGAGAAGTGGGCTCTGTGCTGACAGAAGAGAGCCTGATGTGGGGCTTGAACTCATGAACCATGAAATCATGACCTGAGCTGAAACCAAGAGTTGGAGGCTTAACCGACTGAGCCACCCAGGTGCCCCAGTGAGCCACAAGCTATTTCTGACAGGAATGTGTCTACCCCAGGAAAAAAGTTGGCCACTAGGAGTTGAAACATTCTTCATTGACTTTCGTAAATGAGGAAATGGAGGTTCCCCAGTTAGTCAGCCATGGGTAGGAACCAGAGTCTAGGGAAGAAATCTTAGTGTAGGACCTTTCATACTGCGCTTTAAAAAAAAGTTAGTTGCCCTAAATCCATCTGTTGCCAATAAGGAGTGGTGTGATTCTTTTCTGGGTTTGGGAAAAAAGGTCATTTTGATCCTGTGAAATAACATGCCCTCAAATTCTGAAATACTTTTTTCCTAGACTATTTTTTCAGTTGCAGTCATAGCCTCTAACCAGGAGGTAATTTTTTAATGTTTGTTTATTTTTGGGGGGGAGGAGCAGAGAGAGAGGGAGACAGAGGCTCCAAAGCAGGCTCTGAGTCATCAGCGCAGAGCCCAACGTGGGGCTCAATCACAAACCACAAGATCATTGACCTGAGCCGAAGTGCCAAAGTCAGATGCTTAAACTAACTGAGCCACCAAGGGGCCCCCAGGAGGTAGTTTCTGTTGATAATCCTCATTGAATGGGGAACTTGGGGAGCATTTGAGTCACCAGGTAATAGAGGTGCAGAGAGGCATGTGTCACAGGCAGGGAATAGGGCACCTGTCCAGACAGGCTCATAACACTACACGTTCCTTAACAGGCAGGGGTCAGGGTCTGTCTCTGCAGTTCACAGCAGCTGGAATGTGAGAGGAGACAGCGGCACTTTTTCGTTAAGTACAGAGATTCAGGAACTGTTTTAGTTACAAACATGCCTGCTGCTGGGTTATTTGTAACAGGGAAGAATCAGTGACAAGCTCAAAGTCTGACAGCGGAGATCCACAGGTGAACAGTTAAGTCAATAATGATAAACCACCTGTACAATAGATTACTTAGCTGTTACAGCTAACTTGCAAATTCATGGTGTCATGTTTGTGTTTAAAAATAGAAGTGATGTGCAGGGCTCCTCGGTGGCTCAGTCGGTTGGGCATTCCATTTCGGCTCAGGTCATGATCTTGCAGTTCATGAGTTCCAGCCCTGCGTTGGGCCCTGTGCTGACAGCCTGGAGCCTGCTTCAGATTCTGTCTCTTTCTCTCTGCCCCTCCCCTGCTCACACTCCATCTCTCATTCTCTCAGAAATAAATAAACATAAAAAAAATTTTTTTTAATGTAAATGATGTGTCCTCTGCCTCTTGGAATATAATTTTGGAGAAACTTTCTGGAGGAGAACTCCAAACTTGTACATTTTTTAAATTTTCTTTTCTTTTTCTCAAACTTGTACATTTTAAATGTGATCCAGCAATGACACTTCCAAGAACTATGTACCACTGAGGTCTTAAACAATTGCATAAAGATTTAGATGCAAGGGTGTTCACTTCAGGACTGTCTGTACTAGGAATTATTGGAGAGAATACAAATATCCATCCACTGAGGTTCAAGAAATCTCTTAAGGTACATTGGTACAATTATATATCTTAGAACTACAGAAGGGAAATGGGGTCAACCCAGCCTGCCTGTACACGTGGTGTGGAAAGATGTCCAAGGCCCTGTGGTAAGTGGAGAAGAGTAAAGTGCAGAAGGGGGCAGGAGGCCCTGGCCCGATGATAAATTCACGTGTTAACAACTGCATCAGAACAGACTTGCAGACTATCTACATCAGCCGTGGACTGTGGTTTTCAGAGCAACCAGTCAGAAAGTACTTCCACTTTCCACTTCACATTCTGTAGCGCCTGTGGTTTTTTACAGTAAGCAGATCAGATATTTGGAATCAGGAAGATAATCTAGATCACTGAGTAAAGTACCAAGTCCCATTGGCCCACTCTCCTGAAAGTCTGTAAATTATATTTACAGTGTGATTCCAGCCTTACGAAACACACATGGGAAGGATCTGGAAAAGAACATATCCAAAGCATTGAGGGTCGTTGCTCTGGGTGGGCGGCATGTGGCGAATTTGAATTTTGTCTTCTGTTTTCTAAGTGTGAATTAGCTTCCAAATTGGAAGAAAGAAATTCTGGGCTTGGTTTTTGGACTTTGGAGAGATTGGAAACTGCCAACGAGGGAGCCCTGTCCTGTGCAGCCCATGTGTGTGCCTGTGTTTAGAGGCGTGTGCGTGCGTGCGCTCTCTCCCTTTTCTCCGAGCAGCAGGAGCCCTGCTGTGAGGCTCAGGCCGGGGCCATGCTTGGGGTGCCGTTCTGTTTGGGTTGAGCTCATGGGAAGCTGAGCTGGCCCCAGAGGCTGAGAGATACTGACGGCAGATGAGGAAATCTAGAATTGCTCTGCCACCCCCAGTGTTCAGCTCACCATCCAACCCCCTCCCGGTGGCTCAGGCCTCTGCCCTGGAAAGGAGTTTTGGCCTCCCCAGTGCCACATGACGCTACGGGGCCGAGGTTCAGGTTCTTCAGGGAAAGAGGGAAAGCATCCTACTTCAGCCCAGGTCGTGATCACACAGTTTGTGGTTTTAAGCCCCACATCAAGCTCCGTGCTGACAGCTCAGAGCCTGGAGCGTACTTTGGATTCTGTGTCTCCCTCTCTCTCTGCCCCTCCCCTGCTTGCTCTCTCTCTCTCTCTCTGTCTCTCTCTCAAAAATAAATATTTTTTTTTAATTAAGAAAAATAAAAAATGGGGTTGTGTCGTGATACTGTTGAGAATCAGCCTTATCTCCATAATATCATCTTTCCCAGTCAGTACCCAGAAGCCCTGTTTCTCAACAGGTTTTGAAAGTTTGGGGGGATATTTTTGGTACCCACAAGGATGAAGGGGCACTAAGGCATTGAGTAGGTGGAGGGCATAGATGTTAAAAGTTTGAAATGGGCAGAACAGTTCTGTGCAATGAATTTTCCTACATCCCAGGACCTTGGAATGTCTCGTGGGAATCTGTTCCTAATCATCTGAGCCCAGAACTTAGCACTAAGTTATTGCAAAGGCAACGTATCTTTGGCATAGTTGGAGATATTCTGAATTTAGGAAAGTTATGTTGTCTGTGATTTTCATTTAGGATGGTAAAAGGGGGCATACTTGTGATTCATACAATATTTATAAAAAGGTGATCTTGACTCTGGTAGGGCCCACAATTCCCACTAGTAGGTAATGCGGTCACTTGGGAGGAAGGGCTGTTTAGCATTTTAAGTGGATAAAACCAAAATATATTTAACCAGTCGCCACAGATGGACATTTGGGTTGAATTCCATTTTTCACACAGCAATGCTTTGTATATATATGTTTGCAGATTTGTGTTTGTAGGACACATTTCTCAATGTAAAATTTTTGGGTCAGAATAAAAGAATTCGTATTTTTTCATCTCAGTACACTGCCTGGTTGCCTTAAGAGGAGGTTTAGACCCATTAACCCTGTGTGAGGGAACCTGTTTTCCCCACATCCTGGCCCACACTAATTATTAGCAGTCATTAAAATGCTTACCAGTCCGAACAAGGGGGGGATAAGGAGATTGATGTCTTATTTTTATTTTCAACTTTTTGGTTATAAGTGAAGTGGTGTGCTTTCCTATGTGTATTGTGATTCTTCCTTGGTTTCATGGTTAAGATATGTCACTTCTGGGGTGCCTGGGTGGCTCAGGTGGTTAAGTCTCCAACTCGGTTTCCTCTCAGGTCATGATCTCATGGTTAATGAGATTGAACCCTGCATTGGGCTCTGTACCTGCTTGGGATATTCATTCTTCGGCTCCCTCCCTCCTCCTCCCTCTCCCCTTCTCCCTCCCTCCTTCCCCTCTCAAAATAAATAAATAAACTTAAAAAAGAAAAAGAAGAAGAATGTCACTTCTGCCTATGGGAAGGCCCTGCCCACAGGAAAACAAATAGGGTCTTTTGGGAACTTTGTTCCCACAAGATGACAGCTGGGAATATTTCTCTCTCACTGATGCTGTCTGCCTCCCCAGAGGTGGGAGACACCTGGGAAATCACAGGGTAGGAGGTGGCTGGACGGCCCTGCCCCAGAAGCCCCTGGTCTAACACCTCTCTTTGCCTTTTGCAGGAGGCTTGGAAGCATGCAATTGAGAAGGCCAAGCACATGCCTGACCCCTGGGCTGAGTTCCACCTGGAGGATATTGCCACGGAATGTGCCACGCGTCACAGGTTGGCAGCTCGTCTGGGTGTGCTGTATGGCCCCAGGCTTCAAGGATTCCTTGGGGGTATGGGTCCCGCTTCTGCTCATAATCAGCGAGGCCTATGTACCCTTGGAGGTCAAGGAGAAGGGCAAAACAATAGTATCTGCCAATATTTGAGCATTCATGCATGCTTGCGGCACTGCTCATTACCTCATTTCCTCCTCAGCGTGGTCCTGTAACATGTATTTGTCAGCAAGGCTGAGCCGTGCTGCGGTAACAAATACATCAGAGGCTCAATGCAGCAAAGGTATTCCCACTTGAGTGAAGTTAGGGGAGAGCCCCAGGACCCCTTGGGGCTGCTCAGGGATCCAAGCCACTCCATCTTGTGGTTCCACTGTCCCACCACGTGGCCTCTACAGTTACCACCAAAGGGAAGAAGAATGCATGTAGATAGCATGCCAGCTTTTTGATACCTTGGCCCCAGGAAGATTCATAAAATGGAGCTATGAGCATCTAGGTTTCCTATTTGAAAAGGCACAGGGAAAGAAGAGTTATGTCAGGGGGTTTCAAGAAAGAAAAACAATAGCAAAAACCGCAGACCACCACCGCTAAGGATAACTATGATGACAGTAGCCCTTATGTGTGGAATCCACGTGACAGGCACTGGCTCAAGCCCTCTATGTGTGTTTACTCATAAAAAAACCTGAAGTACAAATCATGTCAAGCATTTAGGACCCCACTCTGAGAATCTGATGAGCGCCATCTCAGAAAGTTGCACACATATGTCTAATTTTGTGCATAATATTAGAGAGCTCCAGGGCAGGTCCAGGTGTAGCAGGTCCAGCTACCCCACCCTCCGCCCCCATCCAGTGACCTCTGTAGACCCCTCCAGTCTGAATCCTCTAAACCTACACCCTGAGTTCCCATAATTAGCCCAGGGGAAATAGAGGTTTGCCCAGGCTCACCCAGGTGACCAGCTAACCTTCTGACTCTCAGTTCAGTGTCTTTCAGTTCGTCAGAACTCTGTTTCAAATGCAGGTGACAGAAACCCAATTCACAGCATTAAGCATGGAAGGGGATGTTTGGCTCGCACACGTGGACTTCAGGCATGGCTGGTTCCAGATGCTCCAAGGATGCTTTGTACTTTGACCTCAGAAAGACTCATATCAGTGGCACAGATATTCCCTGAGAGCCTCACATTTCATTTTACCCAATAGAAGAGGATCTTTTCTTTCTCAAAATTTTTTAAGCAAAAGTTCCATAATGGAACTCTATTGGCCTGGCTTTGATTATATGCCCCTCTCTGAACGTCGTGTGCCAGGGAGCTTTGCTCTGATTCTGATGTGTCTAGGTCCCATACCACATAGACAGACAGGAACAGCATAGCCCTTTACGTCTTTCCGCATCGTGTCCCTGCTCCCACCCTGTGAGGAGATGGCTTAGAGCCTGGCACGCCCTCCCTCCCCAGCACTGGAGGCCCACCTCCTATCAGGCACTGGGGGCTGTGCTGGCAGCTGAGGCCAGCATTGTGGGGGCTCCAGTGGGGCAGGATGTGGACTCTGTTCCTCCCTGCCTATAAGGCCAGTGTGGTGACTGGTTGGTGACACATAGCTTCCAGGCTGAGGACACTAGGCGACCCAGGAAGACCCCTGGGAACGTAGGCCCCACATGCTGGGCCAGCACTGTGTGTCCCAGAGCTCCTTGGAGACCAAGGATCAGGCCAAACTGTTTCCTAACTGAAGTGACTGCCGGCAGAGGGAGCTCAGGAATTGATGGCTGGATCTCTACACAGTTTCTGAACTGGAAGGCTTCCTCCTCTATTCCTGATTTTTAAAGACTGCTGGTGCAGCCACCCCTTTATTGGGGACAGATGTCCTCTTCTCTCAGGCTGGTTAAGAAGAAGGTTCCAGTTGAAACTGATCTGAGTCTGATCCTGGCTCAGGCAGGTTGCCTCCTTCTGCCTCGGTTTCCCCACCTGGAAAGTACGCACAATAATTATTCCAATCTCACAAAGCTGCTGCAGAGTTTAGCTGAAGAGATCTAGTCAAACCTCCCACAGATAGTGAATGCTCAGTGAACTTTGAGCGTCTCTGACCTTTATGGTGTCAATGGTTGTGAAGGACAAATGAGACCCTTCCAATGTCCTATATCTCCCATCTCCCTCAACTTCTGGGTGCCTCTCAGCCTTCAGTCTTTTTTTGGTAAGTCTATTTATTTATTTTTGAGAGAGAGAGAGAGAAAATGAGCCAGGGAGGGGCAGAGAGAGAGAGAGAGAGAGAGAGAGAGAGAGAGAATCCCAAGGAGGCCCCACACTGTCAACACAGAACCTGATGTGGGGCTGGAACTCACGAACTGTGAGCTCATGACTAGAGCCGAAATCAAGTGTCAGATGCTTACCCGACTGAGCCACCCAGGCACCCTCAGTCTTTAGTCTTATTTGGAAGTGAGAGCAGACTGTTTTCTTTACCTTGGTCTCTACAGAGTAATAGTAATAATCATGCTGTTATTTATTGAGCACGGTACTGGCCGTGGACGGGTTGCAAGTAAGTTGCGGCTCCACCCAGCATCCCTGCCCCCAGCTCCAGGCAAGTTCACCTGCCAGGCCTCTTCTTGCCTTTCCCCATAGAGGTTTCAGGCTCTGAGAAGCCTGTTCTCACCGAGCTGGGAGCATTTTGGAGGGTGTCCTACTGAAGGGTGGGCCAGGGAGGCCCCTGCTAGAGTAAGAACACCTCAGCCCTAAGGGGAGGTTTTAGAATTTAGGGATTTACTGAGCTGAGGAGTTCTCTACCAGGCAAATCTGTTTGAGGCCCAGCCAGGCCCAGGGGCAGATTTGCTCTGGGAAAGAGGATCCCTGAGAAAGGAGAGATGAAAATGTTCCAGAACCTTCTCTGTCTGTCTCTGCCTTGGGTGTCATCCTGCAGCCCCTTCCTCGGCTGGACTCAGAGGCAGGGTCCCCAACACCCAACACACACACAACCCCTGCCTGCACCAGGACACAGGCCCAGCTACCTGGGCTGGGCCTCACACAGGTGTTGGCAAGATCGAGGGCGCTACCACTTCCTGTCCTGGGACACGCCGTTTGTTGTGTGGATGGGTTAAAATAAAGATATTCATTTATTCCGTCAGTTTATCCAACATGCATTTATTAAGGCTCCATCTGCACCAGGCCCTACATTGAAGAAACCAGACAGGGGCGTGCCTTTGTAGACTTCCAGTCCGGTGGGGGGGCCAGATGGGGGCCGAGCCCACCAACAGCACAGAGTGCCTGGCGACACGTTTGGAGAGAAAAGGGAAGGAGACCAGAGTGGGCAGGGGGTGGAGGGTTGGGGGCTGGGAAAGCGGGAGAGTGTCCACAGACCCAACCTAGGAGGTCGCCTGGGCCTGTGGGTAAAGGAGTCTTGATCCTAAGACTAGTGAGTAATAGGATCATGTGATGGACGCTGTGCCCTGGGGTGGCTTCTCTCTGCAGGTACAATGCTGTCACTGGAGAGTGGCTACAAGATGAAGTTCTGATCAAGATGGCATCTCAGGTAGGCTGTCCCTAGCACAGTGGCAACAGGGCTGAGTGGGGATTCTTCTTGGGCGGACTTCCTTTTCCCTCCCCTTTATACTCACTTCATTGTTTTAACATTGGGACATTCTTTATATTATTTTGTATTTATTTCACTTTTTTAAAAAGTTTTATTGAGATAGAATTCACACACAATGCCACATACCCATTTAAAGTGTACGGGTCACTGGTTTTTAATATAGTCACAGAGTTACCCGACCATCACCACGATCATTCTGGAACATTTTACCATCTCCCAAAGAAACCCTGTACTTACCCAACAGCAGCCAGCCCCCTATCCCCTCAGCTCCCCCAGCCCTGGGCAACCACTAATCTACTCTCATGTCTATAGAATGACCTATTCTGGACGTTTTGTATATTTATCATATGTCAAAAGATGATCCTTGGCACTCTTGTATAAAATCAGTTGACCATAAATATGTATATCAGTTTTCAAAAATTGCAGATCACCAGCTGTGAAAGGGATTCAGTGGCTTGCAGTCATCCATTTGGGGGGGGGAAAAAAGAAATAGATTAGAAAATAGAGCACTTCCTGCATTGTCAGGAGGAAAATGGTTTTGCAAAACTTTTTTTAGTGTATCACACACTCAGGAAAGGGTACAGCTTGATGAGTTTTGCGAAGTGAACACACCACGTAGTGAGCAGCCCCCTGAAGCCCACCTGCACCCCAGTAATTACTCCTTTACCCCAGTGGTAAGCACCCACTTGGAATCTATCACCCTGGAGTCGTTTTGCCTATTTGTGTATTTCCTATAAATGGAGCCATGCAGGCTGTGTTCTTTTGTTTGTTTGTTTTTAAAATTTTTTTTATAGTTTATTTATTTATTAATATTTTTTATTTATTTCTGAGAAAGAGAGACAGCATGAGCAGGGGAGGGTCAGAGAGAGAGGGAGACACAGAATCTGAAGCAGGCTCCAGGCTCTGAGCTAGCTGTCAGCACAGAGCCCGACGTGGGGCCTGATCCCACAAACCATGAGATCATGACCTGAGCTGAAGTCGGACGCTTAACCGACTGAGTCACCCAGGTGCCCCAGCTTATTTATTTTTGAGACAGACAGAGGATGAGTGGAGGAGGGGTAGAGAGACACACACAGAATCTGAAACAGGCTCCAGGCTCTGAGCTAGCTGTCAGCACAGAGCCCGACGTGGGGCTTGAACCCATGAACCACGAGATCATGACCTGAGCCGAAGTCAGACGCTCAACCGACTGAGTCACCCAGGCGCCCCAGGATGTATTCTTTTGAGTGTGGCTTCTTCTGCTCAGCATTTCATCTGTGACGTTCATACATGTTTTGACTAGCTCTATATTTTATAGAGTAGTAGAATAGAACAATAGAAAATAGTCATTCTTGTTGCTCTGTAGTATTCAGTCCAGTGAGGTAGACCCGATTGATTTATCCATCACACTGTTGATGGACATTTAGGTTGTTTCCATTCTTTCCCTGTTACAGAAAACAGAAGAACAGGGCTGGAAAGACGTCCTTTAACATGCGCTGTCTCCACATAACATCTTCATCCCCTGGGGGTTCGTCCCCTCAGTGAGGATTGGGGAAGGGTAGCCTTGTCACCCCCAAAGTGTCCAGGCTGCAAGTTCAGTTGGGCTTTAGTGATGGGGTGAAGGAGGGAGGGCCCAGGGATTTTAGGATTGAAATGAGGTCCAAGCATCCACTTGCTAGGTGACGTCTGAGGGGAAAAAATCTCTTCCTGACTCAGGATTGCTTCTGGGGGAGGCATGGGAACTAATAACCCTCTGTGTGGTGTCTTTCAGCCCTTCGGACGTGGAGCTATGAGGGAGTGCTTCAGGACGTAAGTGACTCAGCTGGTTCTTGGGGCCCTGCCCGGATCCCCTCAGGCTCCTAAGAGCAGGGGCAAGGCAACATTTCTAGCTGAGGAACCGAGACAGTGGCCTCTGCTTTTTGTAGGGCCAAGCCTCTCTGTCTGCTCTCCCTCGGGCCACACGATGAGCCTGGCTATGGGGATGGGCTCAGAGAGAACGTGGAATACCCCACTAATCTCTGCTCTGGTGTTTGTGGGGGTCAAAAGATACGGGATAAGAGACCTTTAACAATGTCCCTTAGTCCCCTTCCCAGCTCTTAGAAGGGTGCTGTGAGTTAGGCTGGGTCTCCGGTGCGCCCAGGTGCCCAGGTAGGCTCTCTGCTGCCTTTCCCCCCAGGAAGAAGCTCTCCAACTTCCTGCACACCCAGCAATGGAAGGGGGCCTCCAACTATGTGGCAAAGCGCTACATCGAGTCGGTGGACAGGGACGTCTACTTTGAGGATGTGCGTCTACAGATGGAGGCCAAGCTCTGGGGAGAGGAGTATAATCGGCACAAGCCCCCCAAGCAGGTATGTGACTGCCACCTTCCCACACAAGGCAGCTGGGGACAGAGACTGGAGACCAGGGCAACAGTGGTACCCGTCACAGGTTCCCTTCATGGCTTTGTTGTTGTTGTTGATTTGTTTTGTTTTTTAATTTTTTTTTAATGTTTATTTTTGAGAGACAGATAGAGACAGAGCATGAGTAGGGGAGGGGCAGAGAGAGAGGGAGACACAGAATCCGAAGCAGGCTCCAGGCTCGGAGCTGTCAGTGCAGAGCCCATCGTGAGGCTCAAACTCACGAACTGTGAGATCATGACCTGAACCGAAGTCAGATGCTCAACTGACTGAGCCACCCAGGTGCCCCTCACTTCATGGTTTTAACAGTAGCTAATAACGATCATCATTTATTGAACATGATGGGCCAAGTACCACTATATGCAGAGTCATTTATTCCTAAAAACAGAGCTTGGAGGTTGTTTGAGATTAAAATGCTTTTATTCCATTTACAAACGGGATCTGTTAGTCAGGTTTTTTGTTTGTAAACGTTAGAAACCCACTCAAATGGGCTTAATCCAAAAAAGGAATTTTTGGCTTTATATAACTGAGAAATAGGGCTGGCTACAGGTATGGCTAGATCCAGGACCCAGTAGGATATTGAGAATCTCCCCCCATCCCTAGCCTTGGTGTTCTTCTGTATGGCATCACTCACAGGCAGCTTCTCTGTAGTGGTGTGTCAGCCACTAGCAGCTGCAGGCTCACTTTCCGTCTTCTCAGAAAGCTTGGTGGGATATGACAACACTTGTTTTCCCAGAAGTTCTACTAAGTCTCAGAACTGGGTTTCATTGGCTCTCATTGGGTCAGGCGCCTATTGCTGAGCCAATCACAGTGGTCAGGGAAGGGAATATGCAGATTAGGGAGGCATGAGCCATGTGCTCACCCTTAGAGACAGGAATGTGGGTCCTTTCCCTAGACTACGTAGACTGAGATTGGTGGCTCCTAAGAAAAACCAGGAGGGGAGAATGGATAGCATGTCTGCCCCTGGGGAGCCCCAGGCTCAAAGGGGTTAAGTGACCTGCGCAAACAGGCAAGAAAGGAACCAGGGCTCACATCCAGGCTTTCCGAGCCCCTGCCCAGTTGGCTTCTTCACATGAGCCCTCAGGCTGTTCAGTGACCCCAGGCCTAGCAGAATGTCCTGTTGCCTGTGGGCATTTGAGGAAATAGCACTCCATGCCTCTGCCCTGCCTAATTCACAGCTCAGCTCTCCCTCTGCTTGAACACCTAGACATAAGACACTATCTCCTGGGTGCTGTGGGAGAACTGCACTTCCAAGAATCCAGCAGAATTTATTGAGTTCCTGCTGTTTACAGGGCCCTTGATTAGGTGCACTTGGGGTAGACACAAGAAGCCATAGTCCCCACCCACGGAGGCTATGACCACCTTGCTGCATGCGATCCTGACCTCCTTTTTTCCCTCCCTAAGCTTGTTCCTGCCTCAGGACCTTTGCCCTGACTGTGCCCCAGCCTGCATCCTTGCATGACAAGCTCCTTCTCCTAGTTCAAGTCTCAGCTCATATGTCACCTGCTCAGTGAGGCCACCCCAGACCATCCTGAATAAAGTAGCCCTTCCTCTGCTGTCTCCCCTTGTCACATCAGTTTGTTCCGGTTTCTTTCATTGGGAGCAGTTAGTACCACCTGAAAGAATCTGGGTCCTGTAGTTAATATTTTGGTTGCCTCTCTCCCCCAAGGACAGGGATTTTATCTGTCTTATTTACTCTGTATCACAGTCCCTAGGTTGTCACTAAACAAAGTGGTTGGTTGAACTGATGAGGGGAGAGGGATGTAGTTGTTTGAGAAGTAACTGGCTGTCCTCTCCTGGCTGCATCCTTGTAGTAAGCCCACTGGCCAAGCAGGTGGCCTCACCATAGACTTCCTTGTAAGGTGGAGCCAGCATTTGGGGTGAGAACCTCTGAGAACCAGCTGCTCCTTCCCCTTCGGCTAGTTCTCAGAACTGAGGTCAAGTTTGGAGCAACTCTCAGCTCAGGGCCTCTTCAGCATCTGCAGCTGTTGTCTGTCTGTCTAGAGACTCAACCAAATGGTTCCTTGGATGGTTGTTTTCTTGGGAAACCCAGACCTGGACCCTTCTATGGTGGGTGTCATTGAGGGGGATGGGGCACCATGGGGAGTCAGCGTCTCAGGTCTTACCAACCCTGCTTTATAAACCACTCACAGGACTTACACATTTCCTTCTCCATATTAAACATGTGCTTGGTAAAAGAAATTCAACAAGAAGTGTTCCCCATAATTCCCTGTTGCAGGGAGAGAACCACTGGTTATAGTTTTGTGTTTATTGCTCTAGAGTTGTGTCTACTGGTAATAATAACATCAGCAAATGTTGACAGACTCTTTCATGTATCAGCAGATTTTATCCTCATACTAAGAGTGAGATGCCCATTCCGCAGGTGAGAAACTGAAGCACAGTTGGTGAACTAAGTTGCCCACATTCACAGTATTAGTGTAAGGCACCTGCTAAGTTGCTTAGTATTCAGACCCACAAATGTGTGGTAAGGCAAAATGGTTTCTTTCTCTCTCATCTGACAGTCCCACTTTGTTGGGGTGCTCAGGGTGGGCTGGTGCTTCACTTCTTTAAGTCATCCAGAAGCCTAGTTCCTTCTGTCTTGTTCTTCCTCCTTACCTTGAGGTGTGGCCCTGGAGTACATGGCCAGATCGGTCTCACTGGGAATGTCCACTCTATAGCCTCAAGAAGGCCAGAGGAGGAGGGGCAGGCTGGGATGACATCATCGCTGCTGCTCAGTTCCCATTGGCTGGGTTTGGTCACATGGCCACACCTAGCTGCAAGGGAAGCCAGGTGATGTTATTCCTCCTGGATGGCTGTCCATTGTGTTAGAATTCAGATGGGGGCTGTCTTAGTCCCTTTGGGCTGCTCTAACAAAACTTTTTGAAAAAAAATTATTTATTTATTTTGAGAGAGCATGAGCAGAGGAGGAGCAGAGAGAGAGGGAGAGAAAGTCTAAGTAGGCTCCACACTGCCAGCATGGAGCCTGACATAGGGCTTGATCCCACAAACCACGAGATCATGACCTGAGCTGAAACTGAGGATGCTCAACTGACTGAGCCGCTCAGGCATCCCCAGACTGGGCAATTTATAAACGACAGAAATTTATTGCTTACAATTTTGGAGACTGGGAAGTCCAAAACCAAGGCACTAGCCTGGTCACATTCTGGTGATGTTCTCTTCTGGTTCTTAGCCGGTGCCTTCTTGCTATGTCCTTGCATGGCGGAAGTAGCGAAGGAGCATTTTTATCAGGACACCAATCCCATTCATGAAGGCTTCTCACTCATGACCTAATCCCGCCCCCGAAAGGCCCCACTGAATACCGTCGACCTTTGAGGGTTAGGATTTGAAAATATAAATTCTGGGGAGACGCAGTTAAGCCATCATAGGGGTTTTCATTCTCAAAAGAAAAGAGGAGAGTGGATTCTGGGGACACTTGGCTTACAGAGAGCTGTTAAATGACGGAGCCAGGATTGGAGCCCAGGCCAGCGGCCCCTCCCAAGCGCTCTGCGTTGGAGGTGAGTGCCGCCCGGCTCCTGCCTAACCTGCTGCCCTCCCACCAGGTGGACATCATGCAGATGTGCGTGGTGGAGCTAAAGGACCGACCGGGCAAGCCTCTCTTCCACCTGGAGCACTATATCGAGGGCAAGTACATCAAGTACAACTCCAACTCGGGCTTTGTCCGTGATGACAACATGCGCCTGACACCACAGGTGAGGCCCCTGGAGGAGAGGGTCCCCGTGGGTATGAGGTCTCACTCTCAGAGGGCCCTCCATGAGGGTACCTCGAAGTACCCATGGAGTACCTCGAAGTAGCTTCTAATGAGACACGCCAGCCAGCTTCTGTCCCTGCAGAATTAAACAGGGCTCCTTCCTTTATCTGTTCCTCTATTCAATCTCTTTTTTTTTTTTAATGTTTATTATTTATTTATTTATTTATTATTATTTTTTAATGTTTTATTTATTTCTAGAAGAGAGAGAGAGAGACAGCGTGAGCAGGGGAGGGTCAGAGAGAGAGGGAGTCACAGACTGAAACAGGCTCCAGGCTCTGAGCTGGCAGTCAGCACAGAGCCCGACGCGGGGCTCGAACCCACAAACCGCGAGATCATGACCTAAGCGAAAGTCGGACGCTCAACCGACTAAGCCACCCAGGCGCCCCTTTATTTTTTTAATTTTTTTTTAATTTTTTAAATTTATTTTTTATTTTTTAAATTATTTTTTTTATATTATTTATTTTTTGATAGAGAAAGAGAAGGAGCATGAGCAGGGGAGGGGCGGAGAGGGAGGGAGACAGAATCCAAAGCAGGCTCCAGGCTCCAAGCTATCAGCACAGAGCTCGAACATGAACTGAGAGATCATGACCTGAACTGAAGTTGGATGCTTAACCAACTGAGTCACCCAGGCGCCCCATATGCAACCTCTTCTTGCAGAGGGGAAGGCCCCATCATAGGCAGAGTTGAGGTGTTGCAGCCCCTCACTGGTGGCCAGTGTGTGTATTCATAGCCCACAGCCTGGTCTCTTGTGGTCACTCACCTTAGTCTTCCTGTCTACCCCCCCGCCCCACCCCCAGGCCTTTAGCCACTTCACGTTTGAGCGTTCCGGGCACCAGCTGATTGTGGTGGACATCCAGGGTGTGGGCGACCTCTACACCGACCCGCAGATCCATACTGAGAAGGGCACGGACTTTGGAGATGGCAACCTAGGTGGGTGGGGAGAGCCAGCCATTTCTATGGAGACCGCACTCCCTGTGCCCCCCAAACCTCCCAGCTCTTCATACAGGCGAGAAAACTGGCTGAGGTGGTAGATCGGCCTTTCCAAGATGGTGGGGGTGGAAGCTGGGGAAGCCTGAGCCCTGCCACTTCAGGGCCCGCCCTTGCCACGTTTTTGGTGCCCAGCGCCGCCCTGTCCCTGTCACAAAGCAAGTCGCTGCTCCAGACTCCCCTGTTCTGCACACAGGTGTCCGGGGGATGGCGCTCTTCTTCTACTCTCATGCCTGCAACCGGATTTGCAAGAGCATGGGCCTCGCCGCCTTTGACCTCTCACCAAGAGAGAGGGACGCTGTGAATCAGAACACCAAGCTGCTGGTGGGTGCCCAGTGAGAGCCTGCTCAGGGGACCGGGCCCTTCTGCTGTCAGGCAGTGAGCCGCCTTCTCTGTCAGGGCAGTCCAGGCCCTGTGGTGCTTATTTGAAGAGTTTCAGCGCCAGAAGGATCTCAGCCCCATCCGTACCCCTCATTCCTCCCAGATCAGTGCACAAAGCCCTTCTGAGTCCCCACTAACACAGTACCTGGGATCTGCTTGATTGGACCTATTTTGACCAGTGTGAGGAGCCCAAGGGTGTAGATAGTGAGGGAGGTGTGTGGTATGTGTGTTTGTGTGGCATGTTGACAAATAGCTGGACTACTCCTGGACCTGGCCGTTTAGGCACCTTGCTGTGTCCCAGATAGGCCTCCCCACCACCACCACCTCCCCCGTTACCATGAAGAGATGTAAAAGATTGTTGGCACAGACCAGCTTGGGATTCTGCATGTGGGGCAGCAGGTATGCCCCAGCTCAGAACTGTAGAGTGTCGTCAGCACTGAGAATGCTGGCTGGCTTTGAGCTGCACCAGATGCCCCTTCTTAGAAGCCTTTGGGTTAATCCCCCAGTGATTATTTTTAGATTTCCGGCCAGTCCCTAAACAGGCATGTATGGGAGCCGTTGACCAAAAGGCCCTCAGGGTTTGGGTGAACAACACGCTACTAGAAGAGCCCTTCATTCCCCGGAGGGTTCCTGTGTGACATGGGTGTCTGTTAATTCTCCAGCAATCAGCCAAGACCATCTTGAGGGGAACAGAGGAAAAGTGTGGGAGCCCCCGAGTAAGGACCCTCTCTGGGAGTCGCCCCCCCCTGCTCCTTCGCCTTTCAGAAAACTCTGGAGATGAGAACATGAGTGACGTGACCTTTGACTCTCTCCCTTCCTCCCCATCCTCGGCCACACCACACAGCCAGAAACTGGACCCCCTCCGTGAGTGATGTTTTGGCCCCTGGTCATTGTGATTGGAGGGGACAGGCACTAGAAAGAACAGAACTAAACTGGCTTTCACTTATGTTAGGAAATCAGATATGCTAACCAAAAAGAGTCATGACCCAGATGGTTGTACAAGTGAGTTTAAGAAATTTTCAAGACACAAGTCATCCAAATGCTATAAAAACAGACCCTGTTTTAGATAACATTTTTTTCAGTGTGTTTCATGAAACTAGCAAAACCTTCACACCAAAATTTCACAAAAAAGCAAGAAAAGAAAACTACATTCCACCCTAACTTATAAATATGCAATACAGAAATTCTAAATAAGGCATTAACAAAAACTGGTAGTATCTTTGAAAGAATAGTCTGTCATAATCAAATAGTGTTTTTGCAAGTGTCTGAGAATTATTCAACATTAAGAAATCTATGAACATCCTGTGAATAGGTCAGAGGAGGAAAACGAAATCATTATTCTCAAAGTTAAAGTGATAGAGTTTGCTGATGAGGTCGACGTGGGGTCTGCAGGAAAGAGGGGAGGCAGGGCTGACTCCAGGGTTTTGATCTGAAGAATTCTAAGGCTGGTGTGGCCATTTATTCCGCCACAGTGTGGGACACTGGAAGAGCAGAAGAGGAAGATTTTAGTGTGAAATGTCAAGGCTTTTAGACTTTTCCACTAGAAGACCTGGGTATAGTTTGAAGCAGGAGATGGCAGACTTTCCTTAGAAAGCCAGAGAGTAAATATTTTTAGGCTTTGGGGACATATGGCTTCTGCATTAGCAGCATGAATGTGGCCATCGACAGTACCTAAATGAGTAGGTAACTGTGTTCCAAGAAAGACATTAAATTTTCTATTTCATGTAATTTTCATGTATCTCAAAGTATTATTCATTTTCCCAATCTTTTTAAAATGGACAAACCATTCTTAAAAGTCATATGAAAATGGAAACAAGCTGGATTTGGCTGCAGCAGCTCAGGGCAGGAGACAGAGACTGGGAACCACCAGGAAGGAGGTGGTTGGTTCGTAAGCCGTCTGAGGCTTCCCCAGCCTGTAGCTGCTCCCTGGGCCCCAAATACACAAATGGCTGTTCTTCCTTCACACCTGCACCTCACTCACCCAAGGCCAGCTGTGGCCCAGGCTCGTGTGCTTCTAAGCACACTATACAAGTGTATTTGCATTACTGCCTTGAGAAGGCACAGGGGCGAAGCTACCTGCTTAGGACCCCACAGCCAGCAAGTGGCAGACTGCCTAAGTTCTTGAGGAAGAGCTGGAGCCGTCCAGGTGCTGACAGCATTCTTCTCCCATTTTTGTACCATTTTCAAAAAAAAATTTTTTTTAAATATATATATATTTTTTTATTTCTAGGAGAGAGAGACAGCGTGAGCAGGGGAGGGTCAGAGAGAGAGGGAGACACAGACTCTGAAACAGGCTCCAGGCTCTGAGCTGGCAGTCAGCACAGAGCCCGACGCGGGGCTCGAACCCACGAACCGCGAGATCGTGACCTAAGCGAAAGTCGGATGCTTAACCGACTAAGCCACCCAGGGGCCCCCAAAAAAATTTTTATAATGACCTTATGGCAAGTGCTTTCAGCTCTAGATGGTAGTGGGTCTCTTGAACAGTTCCAGTGGTAGAGCCAGTACGTTATCTCTGTTTTCTCCTGCCCAGATTGGCCTGTGTTCGGTGACCTTGACAACATGGTACCCCGAGACCATGACCATCTGGACAACCACCGGGTAAGTGGGAGAGGGATCTCCTGGTCTGCTCCGGGCACTACCAGGGGCCACAGCGGAGTGCGGATGACTCTCAGCCTCCTGCCCAGGGCAGTGGTGTCCTCTGAGAAGAGCTGGATCCATTGCGTTTCCGGAGACGGCAGGAGAAGAGGGAATCCAAACTGGAAACAGTGCAACCTTCTGGCAGATGCTGAGCGAGCTCAGCCCTGGTGTGGTTTGGCCACATGCATGTGGACAGCTGTCCTGGGTTTCAGACAGTGACTTATAGCACAGTCCAGCGTGATGCCCTCAGGTTGGATAAACAGGACAGGCTTCCTGGGTGACGCCACGGAATCTGAAGGCACTGCATTTGCAGTCAGGCAGGCATATTACAGTGTCAGAAACTCACAGGAATTTTAAGAACAGACTTTGCAGAGATGTCGCCTTTGCCCAGACCTCAAGTGTACTTTAAGCTGCACCTTGGGATTGCCCCCAAAGTTAAAGATCACTCTTGACTGCTTTTCAGAGTTTTTGAGTGGAAGGAAAAAAATAAGCATAAGACACTGTTTCAAGAGTTTGCTACTCTAAGCCTCAACAGCCCGCATGGGGTTTTGTGCTGATAGCTCAGAGCCTGGAGCCTGCTTCAGATTCTGTGTCTCCCTCTCTCTCTGTCCTCCCGTGTTTACACTGTCTCTCCCTCTCCTCCTCCCTCCCTCCCTCTCTCCCTCTCCCTCTCCCTCTCCCCCCCCCCCTCCCTCTCTCTCTCTCTCCCTCTCTCTCTCTCTCTCTCTCTCAAAAATAAATAAACGTGTGGGGTGCCTGAGTGGCTTAGTTGGTTGGGCATCCAGCTTCAACTCAAGTCATGATCTCACAGTTCATGAGTTCAAGCCCCACATCAGGCTCTGTGCCTGATAATAAGGGGAGGTAGAAGAGAAGTCCACAGGGCTTATAGAAACAAGGGCAGAGCCTTTTCAGGATATATAGCTCCTCGGGGTGGAGGGATCCCTGGCCACATCAGAGGCCAAGGATTCCGTTGTATATGTTTGCATGGCTCCCGTCTGTCTAGGACAGTGATCCAGGTTTCACATTTGTGCTTGCGATACCAACCTTCTTCTAAAGATATATTTATTGAAAATAAAATGGCTTATATAGAGAGAAATAATAAGTATTAATTCACAAAAGTTGTTTACCTGGAGCAGGAAGGAAATAAAGTAGGGAGGGACACGCAAGAGCACACAAGAGGTCTAGATTTTTCAATAATGTTTAAAAAAAATTTTTTTTAAGGTTTTATTTATTTCTGAGAGAGAGAGAGAGACAGCATGAGCAGGGGAGGGTCACAGAGGGAGAGAGATACAGAATCTAAAGCAGGCTCCAGGCTCTGAGCTAGCTGTCAGCACAGAGCCTGATGCAAGGCTCGAACCCACAGACCATGAGATCATGACCTGAGCCAAAGTCGGACGCTTAACCAACTGAGCCACCCAGGTGCCCCCCCTTTTTTTTTTTTAATTTTTCATTTATTTCTGAGAGAGAGAGTGTGTGAGCAAGGGGGGGTCAGAGAGAGGGAGATACAGAATCCGAAGCAGGTTCCCGGCTCTGAGCTAGCTGTGAGCACAAAGCCCGACGTGGGGCTTGAACCCACGAACCGTGAGATCATGCCCTGAGCTGAAGGACGCTTAACCGACTGAGCCACCCAGGCACCCCCCCAGGTGCCCCTTTTTAATTTTCTTTTTAATGTTTTTTATTTTTGAGAGAGAGAGAGACAGAGCATGAGCTAGGGAGGGGCAGAGAGGGAGGGAGGCACAGAATTAGAAATAGGCTCCAGGTTCTGAGCTGTCAGCACAGAGCCTGATGCAGGGTTCCAACTCACAAACCATAAGATCATGACCTGAGCCAAAGTTGGACGCTCAACTGACTGAGCCACCCAGGCACCCCAAGTGATGTTTTCTTTTAAAAATAAAAGATTCAGGGGCACTTGGGTGGCTCTGTTGGTTAATCTTCCAACTTCAGCTCGGGTCATGATTTGTTGGTTCATGAGTTAGCTCCCCATCGGGCCCTGCGCTGACAGCTCAGAGCCTGGAGCCTGCTTCAGATTCTGTGCCTCCCTCTCTCTCTGCCCCTCCTCCACTCAGTCTCTCAAAAACAGATTTTTTTTTAAATGTTTATTTATTTTTGAGAGAGAGACAGAGTGTGAGTGGGGAAGGAGCAGAGAGAGAGGGAGAAACAGAATTTGAAGCAGGCTCCAGCCTCCAAGCTGTCAGCACAGAGCCCGACATGAGACTTGAACTCATGAACTATGAGATCATGACCTGAGCCAAAGTCAGACGCTCAACTGACTGAGCCACCCAGGTGCCCCTCTCAAAAACAAATTTTTGAAAAAATCTTTAAAAAAACAAAAGATTCAGGCACACCTGGGTGGCTCAGTCAGTTGAGGGGAGATGACTCTTGATTTCAGCTCATGTCATCATCCCAGGATTGTGGGATCAAGCCCCATGGGCTCTGCGCTGAGCTTGGAGCCTGCTTAAGATTCTTTCTCTACCCATCTGCCCCTCTCCCCACTCACTCACTCTCTATATACCTAAAATTAAAATTTTTAAATTAAAAAAATTTTTTTAAATTAAAACTGAAATAATTAAGACCTAACTAAGACAGAGCCAGGTAATAGGTGCTCAGGAGTTCATTTTAGTATTCTCTGTTGCCTTTATTATTATTTTTAATTTATTTATTTATTTTGAGAGAAAGAGAGAGCAGAGAGAGAGAGGGGGAGAGAGAATCCCAAGCAGGAGCAGGCTCTACAGTGTCAGCACAGAGCCCAGCGCAGGCTCAAAACTCATGAACTGTGAAATCATGACCTGAGCTGAAATCAAGAATCAGAAGCTTACCCAGCTGAACCACCCAGGTGCCCCTTAGTACTCTCCGTTCTTAGCAGTGTGTTTGAAATTCTAATTAGAACAAAGAAGGAAACAAAAGTATGAGCTGAACAGCGATGCAGGTGACATGCAGAGATGGCCAGAACTGGACACTGGTAGACAAATGACTGAAGTTTAGAGATTCTGAGTTATCTAGAAGAATAAAAAATATGCCCGGTTTTGGCAGAGAGCTTCATTGTAGTAAATACTGCACTCGGTGCTACATTTGTGTCCATGAGTCCTATCTCATAAACCAGCCTTTGTTTTTCTGCCTGTGAGTCCCTCTTAATAATAGGACTCCCTGTGGTCCATACTCTGAGTAACACCTCACTTCTTCTTCAAAGCCCTTCAGTGTAGGTCCTATCCTGAATCCCCGTGGCAAAGGAAATCGCTGTCCAGGGTCCCAGCTGGCAAGTCCCAAAAATCAGACGGGAGCCCAGGCAGTCTGGCTTCAGAGCCCAAGCTCTTTGCCATTAGTTTTTACTGTTTCCTAGTCACCCAGTCAGCAAGCACAGAGGGAAGGGGGTGTTAATTGAAGTGATAGGACAAAGGAGAGATAGCAGATGGCTGGGATGTCCAGAAGTAACGACCACTCAGAGGACCACTGAGACCCTAGGGCCATCTTCTCTTCACAGGACTCTGAGAACAGTGGGGACAGCGGATACCCCAGTGAGAAGCGGGGTGAGCTGGATGACCCAGAACCCCGAGAACATGTAAGGACCCCCCCCCCAACCAGGGAAATGAGACCAGAGTGTTCTGTTGTCTCATTGTCCAAGGGAATGGAAAGGTGGGGAGGAATGTGAGTGGGTAGTGAGAACACACTAGGTAAACTGATACACAAGATCATTTCAGATAAAAATAAAGGCAGGGCAGAAGGTAAAACAAGGTAATGTGGACCAGAAAGTTTAGTAAGGGGACAAGTATGGGACATTAAATAAGACTGAAAATGGCTGACAACTCTTAGGAGAGAGCTGGAATCTCGGGGTGCTGGGTAATAAGCTGGAATGGTGTGAGCGGAAGGGCGCAGCTCGATGTGTGGTGTTCTGGCCTCCCTGGGAAGTGCACCGGAGGACACTGGGGCGGGGGGCTCAGGCAGTGTCGCCACTTAGAGGTTTTACCATGTGCCAGAGTTGAGTCTGAGCATCCACACCAGTCGTGCTGGGAGCACTTTGGTCTCAGCTTTGTGACTGCAAGTGAATACCTGTTATGGGAGCTTTGGTAAGAGGAAGGAGCTTTTCTTGGTGCTTATCTGCCATGATCCTGTGCCTTTGAGTCATTTCCATCCGTGCACACAGGGAGGGTGAGAGGAAGGCTGTGGGCACACCAGCACATTGGTCCTTCCTGTTACCCAGCATCCTCTCTTCTTGGCACAAGTTCTAGCTGCCCCTCCTAGAGGCCAGGCCTGTCCCTTGGGAGAAGGGTCCCTTGGGAGGAGGGTCTCCTGGAGGTGCTGAGCCTGTTCCCTAGGAGGAGAGTCCCCTGGAAGAGGGTCCCCTGGGGAGGGCAGGACCAGTTCTTGGGAACTGCTCTTTGGCTCACTCTACCCTCCACCTCCCTCAGGGCCACTCAAACGGTAACCGGAGGTACGAGTCGGACGAAGACAGCCTGGGCAGCTCCGGACGGGTAATGCGCCCCGAGGCAGCCTTGTCGTGACCACATGCTTTGCCTTTGTCAGCCCTTGTTTCTCCTCCCCAGTGTCACTGCCACCTGCCCAGGTGCCTCACACACCAGCTAAAGGAAGATTTTGCAAAGGAGTCAGTCCCCTTGGCAAATACTTTTTGAGCCCCCGGCTTGGGCGGGACACTGCGGGATCTGCAGAGAGGAATAGAGAAGAGCAGGATAGCCCATCCTGGGGAGGGGGTGGGGGAGGCTGTAAGGGCCACAACTCACATGGTAAAGTAATGTCCATGAAAGTGCTTCAGAGAATTTGTTCATTTACTCACAGCCACCCAATGAGACAGGCTAATGCTATTCATCCCCATTTTACATATAAGACAGCATGGCTCTTCAGCAGCTTTCCCAGGTCACCCGACAAGTGTTTCTAACAAGCATCTCAGGAGCTCATTATCATCAGGCAGATGTGGGAAGACCAGCCCTTGGGAACCTTTGCTCTAGCTGAACCAGAAACACACTTTGAACCTCTCACCTTCTAGCCATTGCGAGTCTCCCATTTGTCAGGTCCTTCCTCCTACTATGGTCACATCTCAAAGCCTGCCTGCTCCCCCAGACTGGCCCCCTGTGGCACCTCCTGTGGGAGCCTTCCCTGATTGCCCCAGTAGGCTCAACTCTCGCTCCGTCCAGAACACAAAGCATTCACCACTTGGTGTTTATTTACCAGCGGTGCAAGGTCTCAGCAAGGTAGAGAGCAGGGTTGTTCAACCGTGGTGCCTTTGACACTCTGGGCTGGGCCCTTTTTTGTCGTGGGGGGTGCCCCGTGCATTGCAGGATGTTTAGCGCACACATGTGCACGCAGCTGCCTGGCTCGGTCCCACAAGGATCTTTAGAAGAGGGTGTCTGTAAGCTGGAACATGATGTGTTTTCCATACCCATTCCCCAAAGAACCCTGTTGATGCACAGAGCAAAGCCAAGTGGATTTGCTGCAGGGTCTGAAGTCAGACTTTTCTGGCCCATCATGTGGGTCACTGGCCACAGAGGCAGCTTATGGTCCAACCTCCCCAACCAAACCCTGCTTGATAAACCCGACTTTGAACTGCTGCAGTGCGTTCCGCTGGCCTTTGTGTCTTCGTGCTATAAGGTTCCCTCAGCGCACGTCAATGGGCAGGATTTGAGGGATTAGAAATGGAGCTGTGTTTGTCCAAGAAAATTTGACACCTTGAGGGTTCGCCCCCTGCGTCTGGCCAGCCAGGCTGGTGCAGTGGAAGCAGCTGACGGCTGGTGATGGTGCCTGTGTCCCCAGCCCCGCTCTCATTCCCTCGCCTATAAGCCGCCGTGCCCGTTTCCCTCCTCCAGGTGTGCGTGGACAAGTGGAATCTCCTCAACCCCTCCCGCCTCCACCTGCCCAGACCTTCCGCTGTGGCCCTGGAAGTGCAAAGGCTTAATGCTCTGGACGTTGAGAGGAAAATCGGGAAGTCCATTCTGGGGAAGGTATGGTGATGCCTGCTGCAGAGCCCTTTTCCCGCTGACCCAGAGCCCAGCTCATGCCTCTGCTCCGCTCATCGCTTCCTCCTGCAGGCTGGCTGGGCGGCCCTGGGGTGCTTCTGCCCAGGCAGCTGGGCCAACAGCCAAGTCTGTGTGGCAGGTGCATCTGGCCATGGTGCGCTACCACGAGGGCGGGCGCTTCTGCGAGAGGGACGAGGCCTGGGACCGCGAGTCGGCCGTCTTCCACCTGGAGCACGCGGCCGACCTGGGCGAGCTGGAGGCCATCGTGGCCCTGGGGCTCGTGTGCTTGCAGCTGCCCCACCACATCCTGGCTGATGTCTCTCTGAAGGTGAGGGGCGGCAGGGGCGCAGCCATGGGTGGGGGGTGGCGGCTCGGTCATCGTCCCCCCCATCCTGTGGGCTTGTGCATACCCCGGTCTGGGGCCAGGCACTGCCAGGGTAGCTGAAACTGGTAGGACTGGGCCGTGCTACTGGGGAATGAATGCAAGGTGACAGTCGTGATTCCAGGCAATTAGGACATGGCTTGACGGGAGCGGAAGGTAGTGGTGGAAGCAGATGGGAAAGGCCCGGAGCGGGTTTCATGGGCTCGGTGGAGGCTTCCTGATAGCTGGTTCTGGCTGTACCCCTGGTGGTGAGAACAGAGCCCGACGCACAGGACATACTCAACGTGCATTTGTGGAACGGATGAATGGGGTGACCTCTGAGTTAGGCCTGAAAGCTGAGTGGGAGTCAGCCAGGCAGAGTGTGGAAAGTGAGCCGTCCAGGCAGAGGGAGCAGAGGTGACAGGATGGTCAGAGTGGAACTTCATTTGCCACTGATGCGAGCAACTTCTTTGCTGACTCAGATCATGGTTTTAAATACTGAAAAACGGGGACGCCTGGGTGGTTTAGTTACTTGGTTAAGCATCCAACTCTTGGTTTCAGCTCAGGTCATGATCTCAGGTTCATGGATTCAAGCCCCACATGGGGCTTTGCACTGACAATGTGGAGCCTGCTTGGGATTCTCTCTCTCTTTCTCTCTCTCTCTCTGTCTCACTCCCCCTCTCTCTGCCCCTCCCCTGCTCACTCTCTCTCAGAATAAACTTAAAAAAAAGACTGAAAAATTTCTTCAATTTCCTGTGCTAGTCACAACGTAATGGTTATAGATATGCACACTTGTAAGTTTAATCTGCATTATTTATATTTTCTCCATCCCTTGGTTTCCATCAAGACCATCAAAAAGAATAATCAAAGTCTGATCTGTAGTGGGGTGCCTGGCTGGCTTAGTCAGTACAACATGAGATTCTTGATCTCAGGGTAATGAGTTCAAGCCCTATGTTGGGCATTCAAAGCCCTGTGTTGGACATAGAGCCTACTTTAAAAAAACCCAAAAACTAAAAAACAGGGGTGTCTGGGTGTCTCAATTGGTTGAGCATCCATCTTCAGCTGAGGTCATGATCTCATATTTGGTGAGTTCGAGACCCATGTCAGATTCTGTGCTGACAGCTTGGAGCCTGGAGTCTGCTTTAGATTCTGTGTCTCCCTCACTCTCTGCCCCTCCACCACTCATGCTCTGTCTCCCTATCTCTCAAAAAATAAACATTAAAATTTTTTTTATTATTTATTTATTTTAATGTTTTTATTTATTTTTGAGAGAGTGCAACCCAAAAAATTTTTATTTTTAAAGAAACAAAAAAACTCCCTCTGATCTGTACTACTTTCCACTTTCTGTGATGTAAATGCGCCTAGTGTGGCCAATTTCAAGGCACCAATATATCATCACTGAACCTGGATTTGGAACGAAGGGTATGGTAGCACACAATTATATAGTATTTCCATCATACAGATTCAAGAGACCAGTGGTTCTCAGCCAGTCTTTCTGCCATTCCTTCTCCAGGGGACGCTTGACAATATCTGGAGACATTTTTGGTAGTCAAAGTATTGGGGGTGCAATTGGCAACTAGTGTGTAGAGGTCAGGGATGCTATTCAACTTCCTACCATACACAGGACAGCCCTCACAGCAGAGAATTATCTAGTCCAAAATGTCAGTAGTGCATGGTTGAGGAACCCAGAAATAGACATAAATAATCTCAAGAATATAGGCAACAGTACATCGTAGTTAAAATAACTAGAAAGTCATGAGTTCTGAGATTTGTTGCCTTTGTTTTTAATATAACTCATGTAACTGTAAGTTTATAATTTTTCATGATGACTGTTTTACAGTCAGCTTGCAAAATTCCTGATAATTTCATGGTCGGTTCTCATGAGCCCAGAGAGCCAGCTCCAGCATAGTGCTGCCTTTGGCCTGTTCCCCCAGCATCTGCTGCAGAGCCTGACACTCTGTGTCCAGAGAGGACGCTCAGAAGGATTTGAGCCTTGAATAAAGTAATCCCAGAGCCTGGCTGAGTGGTGAGGGGCCAGGACTGGAGGAGATCTTGTGACTTCGGGCTGTTTACACAAAGCATTTACACAAACCACACACTCTGGCAGCTTTGTAAAGGGATTTACAAGCCACCTCAGATTCCTCCCTCACCTGTAAGCCTCTCAAAGACCTTTCTCGAGAGGATAGGCTCTGGCAGCGTTCCCTAGCAGGAGTGTGGATGGACAGAGCTGTGAATGCGGTTAGGACAGGCAGGCAGGGAGGAAGTGAGCTGTGGCCCAGCAGGCTTATGACTTAGCAAAAGAAATGATGGGTGTGTAGCCTGAGAAGCTGCGACGTGCTCTAGAAACACCATCACCCACTTTCTCCAATGCCCCCTTCTTTGAGACTTTTGTTTGTTTTCTTGCTAAGACAAGTATCAATTTAGCACATGCTTTTTGAGAGTCTCCAACACTCTGGGCACTATCCAGTTTCCTGCTCTTATGGAGCAAACTTTTCAAGTGGGGAAGGATATAGTACAAATGATAATTAACAAATAAAAATCTTGCCAACAGAATTAAAAATAACTACCCTTTATTGAGCACTTCCTAAGCCAAGCATTGTTCTACTGTGCTGAGGAAAAAATACCAGGGAATGTGATTGAGAGTGACTGGAGAGGTGTCTTGTATTGGGACACAGTTCTGGCTTCAGGGGAGGCTGAGAAACGTAGCCTTTAGCTAGTCAACCATGTGCCAGCAAAAATATGGCAGAGGAGAATGGATATGGAGACAGCTGGTGGTCCCTGCTATTCTCCTTTTTTTTTGTTTTTTTTTTAAGTTTTTTAACTTATTCTGAAAGAAAAAGAGCATGAGCAGGGGAGGGGCAGAAAGAAAGAAAGAGAGAATCTCAAGCAGGCTCCACACTGTTAGCGCAGAGCCTGAGGCAGGGGCTTGATCACAAGAACTGTGACATCATGACCTGAGCCAAGATCAAGAGGCAGATGCTTAAACGACTGAGCCACCCAGGTGACCTCCCCTCCCATACTTCTTGAAGCCTGGCAGTTGAGAACAGCCTCGTGGGCTGATATGAGGGCTTTGGATTCGTCTCTGAGTGGGGATAAGAAGCCATGGGCAGCTTTGATAGAGTGGTGTGACCTGACTTGGTCTTTAAAAGCATCCCTCTAGCTGCTACTATGTGATGGATGTTGGGGGAGCAGAATGGAAGCAGGTGGGAATATGCACCATTGGTGGGAAAATGGTGCAGCCACCATAGCCCCTCCAAAGGCTAAGCAGGAGTTATATGTGACTCACAATTCCGCTCCTAGGTATCTACCCAAGAGAATAAGAACACTCATCTACCTGAAAACTTGTAACAGATGTTCATAGCAATATTATTCATTATTCAGCCAAAAGGTGGAAACAACCCAAACATCCACCAACTGGTGAATAAAATGTGATCTATCCATACAATGGAATGCTATTTGCGATAAAAAGAACAAAGCACCAATATATTAAAACCTTTATGTGAAGTTAAACAAGCGAGTCACAGTAGTCCACGTAGTGTATGATTGCGTTTCTGTAAAGGGTCCAGAATAGAGAAATCTCTAGAGACTGAGGGTAGGCTACTGGTTACTCAGGGCTGGGTGGGGCGGGGCAGTTGGGAAGTGACAGTGAAGGGGTATGGTGTTTTGGCTTCTTTTTGGGCTGATGAAGATATTCTGAAATTTATAATGGATATGGTTGCACATTCTGTGAATATACTAAAACCCACTGAATTGAGTGCTTTACTTGGATGAATTGTATGGTATATGAAGTATATCTCAATAGAGCTATTAAAAACTCTTTTTTAAATGTTTTTTATTTATTTCTGAGAGAGAGAGACAGCATGAGCAGGGGAGGGTCAGAGAGAGAGAAAGATACAGAATCTGAAACAGGCTCCAGGCTCTGAGCTAGCTGTCAGCACAGAGCCCGAAGCGGGGCTTGAACCCACAAACTGTGAGATCATGACCTGATCCGAAATCAGATGCTTAACCAACTGAGCCACCCAAGCGCCCCAAAAAGGTTTTAAGTAAAAAGAAAAGTTTAAAAAAACTTTTTAAATAAAAATAAAAACTTTTTAAAAATGTTTATTATTTTTGAGAGAGAGGAGAGAGAGCCAGGAAGGAGCAGAGAAAGAGGGAGAGACAGAATCCCCAGGCAGACTCCAGGCACTGTCAGTGCAGAGCCCGATGTGGGGCTTGAACCCACAAACCATGAGATCATAACCTGAGCTGAAATCAAGAGTAGGGATGCTTAACCGACTGAGCTACCCAGAGGCCCCAGAATAAAAACTCCTTATAACAGAAGCAAGGAGCCCTATTGGAGGCAGGGGATGATGTGGCTCTCTGGGGGAATCAGAGCAGATTCAGAACAGTGAGCAAGAGTGGGTTAACCTTCACTCCTGCCTGCCTCATTTCCATTTCTCTCCCCCTCTTTGGTTCGTATTGACAGGAAACAGAAGAGAACAGAACCAAAGGATTCGATTACTTACTGAAGGCAGCGGAAGCCGGCGACAGACAGTCCATGATCCTGGTGGCTCGGGCTTTTGACACTGGCCAGAACCTCAGCCCAGACAGGTACTGTGGCTGTCGCTCAGGTGGAGCTGGTGGGAGTCTGGGCCTCAGGTGGGGGCTTCGCCTTCAGGATCAGCACGGAACCGCGTCCCCTACTGTGGGCAAGTCATTTCCTTATGGACGAGTGATCTCCGTGTCTTCATTGTGTGAAATGGGGGTAATTATATAACCTGCATTCCAGGGTGCTTGCGTGAGGGTTCGTGGACAGGACGCCTGTAATCCTCCCTGAGCCTGGCAGATAAAGCTGGATAGCCCAGCCGTTCTGTGAAAAGATTGGCTTTGAGACCAGAGTGGTTGTTCCTAGATGTTAGGATTATGGGTGACTTTTGTTTCCTCTTTCTGCTTTTGTTTGTGTTATTTTTCACTTCTGAGAGGGCGAGGAGGGAAGGAAGCAAGCTCCCGCGGAGATTCGGGCCTGGTATGGGTTTCCAGAGCGGCTCTGAGTCTCCCGAAGGCTCTCCCTCTGCAGGTGCCAGCAGCTCCCAGCTGTGCCTCAGGCTGAGGGGCCAAGACTGGTTTCTGCCCTGGGAGGAAGGGAGGGTAGCCCAGCTTCATCCCCGCTCCTTGGCTTAGCCAGAGGGAAGTCCCAGAAGTCCCAACAGTGGAGATCGTTTGGGGGAATTCAACTCATAATGGGACCCTTTGCTCAGCCTCCGACTTCCCTGGATCTCAGCTCTCCCTGCTGTCATCAGGAGCCTGTGGCTTTCTGGACGGGAACAGGGTGGGCACTTTGATTGTCTAAATCTACAGGATTGGAGCAGCCTAGAAGTTTCTTCCTCTTTGGCTCAAGATCTCATCTTCCCTCCCTGGGTTTAAGGAAGGTCAGGACTGTGGCCGCGTACTATCAAGCTCTCAGTGTCTTAAATGTCTAGATATGTGACATCCCACCTCTACTACATATCATGTAGTCCAAAACTTTATTATATTTATACATATTTTATATAAAGTTCAAAGCTTTATCATATTATTGTTACTGTGTAACAATCACATCCTTCTCTTTGGACTGTACCTTCATATCTGTGATTTTATCTCACTGAGAGCAAGAATCGGGTCTCCAGCACCTCTGTAATCCCAGCACTTAGCGCGGGGCCTGGCTTAGTAGTTGTTTGAATGTATTAACCAATACTTCTCTCTGACACACAGGGGAGGGTTTTTTAGTCCCATTGTACAGATGAGTAAACTGAATTTCTGAGAAATGAAGAGATTTGCCCAAGGTCAGATAGCTAGTAAGTGGCAGAACCAAATCTTGGGTCTTGTCCCCTCTGCTCCAGTGTACTATGTACTGGCCTGCTTCTCAGTGGATTCAGAACTATATAGGCATAGAGAGAGGTTAAAAAAAAAAAAAGACATGACATGACATGCTTATATCAGGCCAAATGCCAATGTGTACGGTGCCCATTGATTGATTGCACGGTGGGAGGGGGCTAGAGCTGGGCATTGGATATTTGTACCTGAGGTCCTTAAGATATCTTTGTGTATTTTCTCTTCATGCCTTTTATTTACTTTTTTATTTGAGATGATAATTTGCTGTACTGATTTGCAAGAATTTAAAAAAACTTTTTTTTTTTTTCATATTTATTAATTTTTGAGGAACAGAGACAGACAGGGCAGGAGTAGGGGAGGGGCATTGAGAGAAAGAGACACAGAATCCAAAATAGGATCCAGGCTCCAAACTGTCAGCCCAGAGCCCGACGTGGGGCTCAAACCCATGAGATGTGTGATCATGGCCTGAGCTGAAGTTGGATGCTTAACCCACTGAGCCACCCAGGTGCCCCTGATTTGTAAGAATTTTTAAATATTGAGGCTATCAACTCTGAGGCATATGCTTCTTTTTTAAAAAAATTCTTTTTGAAGATGGTGGTCATCAGTGTAAGGAGGGGATGGCATATGTCCCACAGTGACCATTATTACTGGGTTTGGGCCAACTGGTTTTTTATATTTATATAGTTAAATCTATCAACATTTGCTTTTATAGCTTCTGCTATAGTCATTTTCTTATTCTTCTTCCTCATTCCAAGCAGTTCCAGCCTCTTCCATTCAGAGAGTGTTAATTAAGGGCCAGCTCTGGGTAAGACAGGGCCCATGTAGGCCCACATTTGCATGTAAGGGGTTTCAGCCTTCTTAAAAGTTACCATTTTTTAAAAAATGTTCCTTTTGAGAGGGAGAGAGAGTACAGAAGAGAGTGTAAGCAGGGGTAGAGAGAGGGAGAGAGAATCTCATGAAGGATCCATGCTATCAGTGCAGAGCCCAATACAGGACTCAAACCCATGAACTGTGAGATTATGACCTGAGCCAAAAAATCAAGAGTTGGATGCTTAACCGACTGAGCCACCCAGGTGCCCCAGAAGTTACCATTTAATATGGGAAGGAAAAGTCATTGGAGATTTCAAGGCAAGGTAGGCATCCTAACCTCTGGATGTGAGGCCGGGGTGGGGAGCAGGCAGGGAGAGATTAGGCCCTTTCTCCTCTTTCCTGTTGAATGCTTTTGGGGGCAATTCTGCTTTGCCTTTCTGGACCAGGGAGCATCAAAGCTGAGCAAGAGTGAGATGATGTAGCTTAGTGGCTTCCAGTCCACTGTTCAAACCCTAGTTTGTCAGGTATGTCACCAAGAATTTTCAAATGACTTCCCCTTTTTGTGAAATAAAATGGAATCAGTGTTATCTCCTAAACACCATCCCAGCCAGCCACTTGTCTACATTTATTCATTGACCAGATGTTTAGGGAGGCTGAGCTATTTGCCGGGCCCTGGGACTGCAGCAGCAGACCGAACAAAGTCCCTGCTTTCTTGGAGCTTATGTTCTAGCCGTGGGAAGCCATAATAAGCAAGTGAGTAAGTCAGCAGGAGAATTGTGGAATTATATGATCGAGGTCATCGTAGGAAAGAGTGGGAATGGTGTCTCCAAAGAGGTGACGTCTGAGCTAAGGTCGGGGGGATGAGGAGCCAGGTATGGGAAGACTTGAAGAAAGAACGCTCCAAGCAGAGGGAGCAGCAGGTGCAAAAGCTGAAGAACAGACAGAGTCTGGCATGTTCAGGGAAGAGAAAGTGGCTCAGCCAGTCTGGGGGGTGGCGAGGTTAATGGGCTCTGAGATAGGGGTGGAGCCAGGTCGGGTAGGGCCTCAGAAGAGAGGCCAGCAAATCATTGTAGCTGTTCTTCCTGGCACATTTCACAAGACCCATAGACTTTCTTATCTGTATCTCTCTTTGCTCTTTCCTGATGTGCTATAAATAGTTACTCACATGCTTCATAATGTGCAGTTAGTACACCCCAAGAAAGAGCCTGCTGCCCTGTTGGCTCTGTATTTCATGTTGTTCAGATTTGGTTGGAACCTATATATGCCCTTGGTGGTTTGGCCATTTGTAGTAGGGAGGAGGAGTTGAGGGTGGAGGTGCAGAGCCAGAGAGAGAAGCCGGTTATTCTGGGGAGAGCCCTGTGTTGTGCTGGAGGAGAGCCAGAGCTGGCTGGCACAGGCAGATGGTAAGATGGGGCTGAGTGATTGTTTCTAGCTTGGGTGGTTCTGGAGGCCTTAGTAAAGGGTCCTCCATCCACCTCCTCTCCTACTCGAGTCAGGGCAGATTGGCTGGGATATGAGCCACGGCTAATGCTAGCCCATAGTGTGATTTTGTACAAACTAGAAAAATGCCCCCTTCCTCAAGATACTTTACATCATCTGTTGGAAAAGTGTGTAATATGTATACCAATTTTTAAAAATGTTTATTTATTTTGAGAGAGTGCTATGCAAGTGAGTGGGGGAGGAACAGAGAGGTAGAGAGAGAATCCCAAGGAGGCTCCTTGTTGTCTGCGCAAAACTCAGCTCAGGTCTTGATCTCGACCTTTGACATCATGACCTGTGAGATCATGACCTGAGCTAGCCATATCAAGAGTCAGATGCTTAACCAACTGAGCCACCCAGGTGCCCTGTGTAATATACCACTTTTGCTAAGGAAAGCTACTTGACTACTGTCTTAATACCTAAACCTACAATGTGAATGACACCCCTTAGACGTGGTAGCACTGGTTACCATGAGTCATGAATTATAGCTGGCGGCCCCTCTGGGATCCCTGACTTGCCTCTCCTGCTGATGAGTCTCCTCCCTCTGCCCATGGCCATGGTAACATCCGATTTTTCCTTTATATGTCCTGGAAGATCCCGAGACTGGCCAGAGGCTCTGCACTGGTACAACACTGCCCTTGAGATGACAGACTGTGATGAGGGCGGAGAGTATGATGGGATGCAAGATGAGCCTCGATATACGCTACTGGCCAGGGAGGCTGAGATGCTGTTTACCGGCGGCTGTGGGCTGGAGAAGGACCCGCAGAGATCAGGTAGGGCCTGGTGGACCTGCCCCTGGTGTGGGACGGGGTAGATGGGGAGGGATATAATTCCTGTCTCAGTGGGAATTACAGCAAATGCAAGGCTGAATCTCTTCTTTTCAAAAAATTTTTATTTATTTATTTTGAGAGAAAGAGAGCAAGAGCGGAGGAGGGGCAGAGAGAGAAGGAGAGAGAGAATCCCAAGCCGTCAGTGCAGAGTCTGATGCAGAATTTGATCCCATGGATCGCGAGATTATGACCTGAGCCAAAATCAGGAATCAGATGCTTAACCAACTGAGCCACCCAGGTGCCCCAAGACAGTCTCTTCTTTTAGTCTCTTCTTTCATTGGAGGGACGTACCAGCCCTGCATGGCAGGCTGGATACCCATACGGTGCTGGCTTAGGAAGGGGCTTTGTGGAACTGGGATACAAATGACCATTTTTATTTTAATGGCTATATATTAGCAGTTTGCTATTTTTGCAGTTTTAAAAATTGCACTGACATTTTCATCACAACAAAATTCACCATTTTTAAGTGTACGGTTCAGTGGTTTTTAGTATATTCATCACGTTGTACAACCATCACCACTATCTAATTCCAGAACATTTCCAGCACATCAGTAAGAAACCAGGTACCTGTTAGCAGTGACTCCCTCCATTCCTGGCTACCACTAACCTATTCTCTGTCTTCATGGATTTACCTATTTTGGATGTTTCATATAAATGTAATCATACAGTATGTGGCCTTTTGTATCTGGCTTCTTTCACTTAGCATCTTGTTTTCAAAGCTCATCCACGTTGTGGCAGTTATCAGTATGTCATTCCTTTTTATTACCAAATCATATTCCATACAGATACACCACATTTTGTTTATCCATTCATCAGTTGATGTGCGTGTTATATATGTATTTTTTTTTCTGTTATATAATAAACATACTGAACTCCTGATTTCATAGGTTGAGACTCTATTTAAAAGTTTAAAGTTTTTTTAAGATTGTGTAAAAAAACAGAGCAAATAAGAGGTGTCTGGGTGACTCAGCTGGTTAGGCCTCTGGCTCTTGATTTCATCTCAGGTCATCATCTCACCAGTTGTGGGTTCAAGCCTCCCATTGGGCCCTGCACTGACAGTGTGGAGCCTACTTGGGGTTCTTTCTCTCCCTCTCTCTCTGCCTCTCCCCGTTCTCTCTCTGTCTCTCAAAATAAATAAACTTAAAAAAAAAACTAAGCAAATAATGCAATTCTATAATCCCTTATTTGAAATTTCTAAATCCAAAAATCTCTGAAAACCAAGTCTTTTTGTACACTTTGCACAAATTTTCTTGGAAACAAAAATCTCTTCAGAACTGACATGAAGCTGTTTATTATCTTTATTTCTTCTACTTTATTTCTTCTGCTTTCATGCATTCCCTAATTAGGCCTGTAAAAATCCTCAGCCTGATTCTCATTGGCTTAAATGGAATCACCCACCCACCCCTAAGCCAGTCACTGAGCTCATTGAGATGGTTTATTCTGATTGGCTGTGCCTAAGTCTGGATGTCTGATTGGCTATGTTTAGGTCCCTAAGACCTGGTGGGAATGGGGAGAGTGCTTTGGTTGGCCGGGCTTGAATCACCTGCCTACCCAGTTCTCATGCAGGGTGAGGGGAGAAGAAGTAGTTTGGGTTCTTAAAGAAATCTTAGGGTACTATTCCCAGGGAGGGGTCTGGGTCATAGGCCTGGCAAAAACAACAGGTGGTTCACCTTTTTGTGCCCCACTTTGCTCTCCTTCAGGTGACTTGTATACCCAGGCAGCAGAGGCAGCAATGGAAGCCATGAAGGGCCGGCTGGCCAACCAGTACTACCAGAAGGCGGAGGAGGCCTGGGCCCAGATGGAGGAATAGCTTCCCAGGAAAATCACTGCTGGCCAATCCCAAGCAAAAGGGCTAAGCGCAGGGAGGGGAGGGGGGAGACATTATTTAGTTTTTTTGGGAGGGTGGGGGTGGGGAAAGGGGCAAGTATTTTTAGTGTATTATAAATCAACTTTTGTATTTCATTTTTTGACTCTTGAAAATGTCTTTGCTATTAGCAGAGACACTACAGCTGTCCCTTAGGGCAGCATTTTGGGGAGTGGGGACTGAGAAAGCAGCCTAAGGAACCAACCTATCATGTTGAGCTGCTGCTTTTTTTTTCTTTTTTGGTCATGAGATGTAATAAAGTGCTTTTTGCTGCCATGAATGAAAACTGTTAGCGCTTTGGGCTTTGCTCACCAGCTTTTTCAGGCTGTACTGAAATGAAATCTCCGGCTCACAGAACTTGTTTCCTGAGTTGTGATGGGGGAGGTAGAGCTGCACATCTACTTTCCACGGGGTGTGACTTATCACGACTTAGTGCAAAGCCTTATTTCAAAGCATTTGGACGCACACATAGCGTTGTTCTGTGGATGTGAGATTACACAGTATCCAGGGCCTCTTCTGCTGTGGGCGAAGGCCTGCAAGCTGGTCATTGGCTTATCTTTTAATTTCCTTCCCAAATGCAACTGAGTTTCTGGAATACAGCCAAATTCCATTTTTCAGCATGCTTTCTAGAGTGGGCTTTATAAAACAGGTTTGATTTTGTATGCACACATTTACTACCTCTGACTTCTCCATCAGCTAGTGTGGGAGAGGGTGCGCCTCAAACCTTTTACTGACCTTTTAAGGTCAGCAATTTGGAACTTTTTTCTGAGAGGATACATACTCCGCATCTCAGAGGCAGCATCAACGGCATACCTGAAGCATCTGTGTACAGTGTTCCTCTGTGTTTTCTTAGCGTCTGACGTTTGTATGTAGAATCTGTTCCCCAGGCCCTGTCCTTGGCATTTTCTGCTTGAAGCTAGGCTCATTTTCTTGTAAATTGCAGCTGTACTATTTCAGCAGCAGCCCCTTGAGATTTATCTCAGATGTTTGAGAATGAGAGGGCAAGAACTATAAACACTCATTAATTCCAGTAGTTTCCCCAGGGCCAGGCTATGGCTCTCTGTCTTTAATGAGCTTTCCCTTTAAAAGGAATAAGATTTGATATCAGTCTGATTTCAATTGGTGTATGAAATAGCAAAGAAAACACACTGCTTTGATCAAGCTCAAGTGCTAAAGCAGCCTCTCTTCCTATGTTTAAAAATGGAAACATAAAAATAAAAAAGCAGAATGTGACATACAAACCATTCTTATCTGTCCATTGAAACAGGTCTTTCAACACAGTACTGTTAAGAGCTGTAGAGTTGGGAACCTGTGCGGCCATCAGTTCGAAAGTTCAGAATGTGCCCTAAGGCAGAAAACTAAGCAGGCTCAGAATGACAAAATCCTTTAAACTACCTATAAATTACAGCATCCCTCATTTTTGTGTATGGATACACCACAACCAGCTTCCCTTAACAAGCTGGGATTATTCACCCTTTTTTTCCCTATTTGCACCAGATCAAGAAGTTGGCTTGCATTAGGGTTTTTGTTTGTGTGTTTTAAACCAGTGCATAGAGTTAAATTGCATATGGTGAATGTAAGGGAAAAGCAACTTTAATGTGACTTGTCTCTTAACCTCCGTTAAAGGGCCAGATAGTAAATACTTTAGGCTTTGTAGGTCATATGGTCTCTGTTGTAACTACTCAGCCCTGCTGTAGTGAAGAAACACCTATGAACAATACCTAAATGAATGAGCTTGGCTGATGTTCCAGTAAAATTTTATTTACAAAAATAGCCTACCTGGGTAGTAGTTTGCCCACTCTGGCACTAATCCTTGACTGAGAGTTAACTACAATATGCCCTGAAGGCAAAAGCTATCTCAAGTTTTCAACTTTCAGTGCTCAAAAACACAGGTCATTGACACAGAACAGGCCCCAGTAAATGTGTGAGCAAATGGAGAGCCAGGCCTAGTCACAGCACCTGATCTGCGGCTCTGATTCTTCCAACCAGTTAATGATTTGTCTTCTGAATTGGCTTGAACTACCACCCCTCCACTTCCACCCACCCACTTCTATGGCCTTAACTTAGCCAGCTTCTCTTCCAGAAGGCTGGAATGGCCTGGATATATAACTAAGTATATGCTTATTAAACACCAGTGAGAGTGAAATGATATGCAAGATGCTAAGATCCTTCTGAGCCAGTAAGAGTACTTATTCCACCTTCAAAACCTAGTTTTGTGCCTTCTAAAGCTGGTTAGGGCTCCCCCCCACCAATAAATTCTGGGCATGCAAAAACAAAAGACAAAGTACCCCAGGACATTCCAGCCCAATTGGGAAGTCATCAGAGAGCATCTTGAAGTGCAAGAAGCAAGTGAAGGTCCAGGAGATTCTCAGAGTCTGTGACATAATCCCGTATCTTTAACCATAGACAGAAGAAACCAGGGTTCTGAATGGTAGACTCACAGTGGACCTGGTTGGTTGGCAGCTAGTGGCAGCTAGGATTTGAAAGCTACTTGTTATTTAGAGGATCCTGGGAATGAAATTTAAAATTAGACTATAATGTAATATCCCTTTCAGTTTTGCTGTAGTTTTGTTTGTTCATTTGTTTAAGCAGGCTTTATGGATGTTAGAAGGAAAAAAAATGCCAAACCCCAGTGCATCTGAATATCCCTTCCCTTCCCCTCAGCTGAGGCACTGTGGGAATTTATCATCAAATGCAAACTTGGGGAACCAAGCCAGGTAAATTACCCTTGTTCCTGTTTTAGTGATTTCTTTTCCTTTTATCTCAGCACATTTGGCTGCAGTACTAGACATGATTTACAAATCAAACGTTTACAAAGGTATATGCGACTTGTGTCGGGGGAGAGGGAGACAAAATATGCAGTCTCTGTGTGGATTGGTGCCTGTTACTCATGTTTCTAGTCTCAAGGTAACCGTTTAACCTAGCCCAGGTGGACACTGGGTAGAACCCAGAGAAGTAGCTTGTGTTATAAATTTACTTTTGCATATGTATTAAGTTCCGTTTTGTCTCTTCAAATAAAGTGGTTTCTTTCCTGTCTCAAATTCAAATGTCTCCTAGTAACAAGGGATGAAGTAGCTGCCTGGAGGGCTCAGGCCCCATCTCAAAGGAGCAGCTGTGATACAGCTCCAAATGATCGTCACCATGGGAAGTGTGGGCCCAATGTTGCCCCCTTTTCCAATTTTTCTATAGCTGCTGAAACTGGATTTGTCAATGCAAGGCCTCCTGATTTTTAATATTTCTAATAAATTCTAATTTATTTTTTAAAAATGTGTCCATATTTTAGATTTGGCCCATATTCTGTCCTTTTGTTTTAAAGTATGTGAACCTCGGGGCGCCTGGGTGGCTTAGTCGGTTAAGCGTCCGACTTTCGCTTAGGTCATGATCTCGCGGTTCGTGGGTTTGAGCCCCGCATCGGGCTCTGTGCTGACTGCCAGCTCAGAGCCTGGAGCCCGTTTCAGTCTGTGACTCCCTCTCTCTCTGACCCTCCCCTGCTCACGCTGTCTCTCTCTCTCTCAGAAAAAAAAAAAAAGAAAGAAATTTGAACTCCTGCATAAAAGTTGAAGTCACACAGTTAGGCCCATTTGCTCATCAGTCCCCACCAAAATGACAAGAAAGAGATTTTCTTTCTTTTTAAAATTTTTTTAATGTTTTATTTATTTGAGAGAGACTGCAAGTGGGGAAGGGGTAGAGAGAGGGGGACTGAGGATTCAAAGCAGGCTCTGTGTTGACAGCCCCAAGCCCCATGTGGGGCTTGAATCCCCAAACTGGGAGATCGTGACTTGAGCCAAAGTTGGATGCTCAATTGACTGAACCCCCCCAGGTCCCCCAGGAAAGAGATTTTTTAAATGTCATAAGCCGATGAGTCTGAAAAGCAGAGACTATAACGGATGAGCATTGAGAACGCAGCCGCCCCCAAGGGCTGAGAAGTTGCACCAGGAACCTCTGGAAGGGGGAAGGGGAAATAAAATGGGGCTAAAATAGAGAGTCAGTTGAAAGACTTAAAGTATCAAACTGCTAGACCAGCTCACCTCCCCTGCATAGCCAGCTCGCTGCCTGTCCATCACCCCGCAGAAGCCTGCGATGCCGGGTACAGGAGTGTCTGGTTCTCTACAGAAAAGAGGGTTAAGTGGAAGTTTCCATATTAGAGGTAGAGGCTTCACCAGCCACTTTTTCCCCACTGTGCTTCCAGATGCTGGCTGCCTGACTTACACTCCTGGCAGAAGGCAGATAATTGGGGGGGAAAAAAACAACAACTTGACAATAAACTATTTGTAATAAAATAAAAAAAACAGTGAATAAAAAAATAAAAAATAAAAGAAGGCAGATAATTGGAGAAATCTCTAGGGAATCTGAGATGAACTACTTCTAGATACTTCCTCCTAATGAAGCAGGCCAGAGGGAGCACCTAACGGGAGAGGCCTCAGCCACGAAGCCCCATCCACATCCACAGGAATAGCCAGCCAAAGATCCGTATGTAAGGATCCATAAACATTTCATAGAAAAGACACCAGAACAAACCATCTTGGAGGAAACAAAATGCAGGAAGAAGGAAACCTTAAGAAACAAAAAACTATTATTAATTTCCTTAGATAAGATATTGCAGGGGTGCCTGGCTGCCTCAGTAAGTGGAGTGTGCGACTCTTAATCTCAGAGTTGTGGGTTCAAGCCCTGGGGTGTAGAGATTACTTTAAAAATAAAAACTTGAAAAAGATACTGCGTCCATAGAAAGAACAGATCCACTTCTAAAAATTCACACAACAAAAGAGCGTACTCTTTTGGACATGAGTAATTTTGGAAATTGAGCATACTCTTACAGACATGAGTAATTTAATAAAAGAGCTGGAAAGTAATGGGGATCTCCCAGGAGGTGGAAGATGGAAAATGTGAGAGAAAATACTAGAAGTCAGAGGAACAGACAAGGTGAGCTGTACAACAGTTCCCCAATGGAACACTTAAAATTGTCATTACTTTGCTTTGTGGAGAAATTAGCTAAG